TTTTTGTAGTATTTCTGGTACCTGTATTTAATATTTATTAATATTTATTAAAAATAGATATTAAACCTGATGGGAAGTTAAAGCTACTGTTCTATGGTTAAAGGCATTATAACAACAAATAAGGAATAAGTTGCAATTTTAATTTCTATTTTTCTAATAATTTTCAAAATAGTTAAAACTTAAAAGTTGATTTGATACCAAGGTGGATATAATATATATATACATCATAGACCTAGTATAAGGTCTATGATATACATTCACATTGGTTGATACCATAGATAATAGAAGAATTCTTCTATTATCTATGGTTGATACAAATACATATTTACAACCTCATTGAAAATTATTTGACAACGGTTGGTCACATTGTAGTTGTATCCTTTGTAGCAACGACGGTTTTATGATAAGGTTTTTTTTTTATGATGTCTGAGCAGAACACGCTACAAGTTTTTGGTTCATGACTGAAGTGAAGCATTTTGGTCTGAAGTGAAAAGCGTGTCTTTCTGTTACAGTATTTTACTTAACTTTTCAGGTAATTGTAATCTGGTAATTTACGTTATTGGTAAGTAGCAAATGGCCCATCAATACTTGGACCAAGGTTCTGCTATTTTAAAAGACGATAAGGGTTACTTCGTTCCAGCTACACAACGCGCAGACGGCACTTGGCGTAAGGAAAGACGGCTCAAGAATAACTATATTCCCCAAGACGAAGTAAAACTTTACGAATCTAAAGGTAAAAAATTCGTTGCCAATAAACCTACATTACCTCCCGGTGCACCTGTTGCAATGGTTGCGGTACCTAAACAATCACGACAAACCAAACAAGTTCTCACCGAAAAACAACCTAAACAGGAGAAAATTAAAATCCCTGAGGTACAAAAACAAATGGATAAGCCAGTAGTAAAGCAGCCTGAGGTAGAGACAGGAACTGACCCTGTCAAACGGGTGAGAAATCTTAAGAAAAAGTTGAAAAATATTGAAGAGTTGGAAATCAAAGTTTCCGAAGGACATTCTATTGATAATGATCAACGTAAAAAGATTTCGTCCAAAACTACAGTTATCAAGGAGATTGCTCATCTTGAAGCACTTGTGAAGTAAGATTTAATATGGTTAATTATGATTTATTATTGTCAATAAACGATGGCGGCGCCGCGGAAGCAATGCGAAAGCAGATCCCGCGCCGTCGTCGGTTAAAACAGAAAAAAAAAAAAAAA